GATGGTGGGGGTGGGGGCGATAGTGGCGACGATGGTGGTTGTAGTGGTGACAACGAAGATAATGGTGGTTGTGGTGGTGGTGGCGATGGCGACGATGGTGGGGGTGGTGGTAACGACGGCAGTGCAATGGTTGTGGTGGTATAGGTAACGATGGGGCAGTTTCAAACACTATTTTTTTTTAAATACTTATGAGAAATGATTCGTAGAAGTGCATTTAAAAGTCACTCCAAATACACCCTTTATGGTCCTATTTTTCTTATTAAATTTAAGGTATTAATATTAGTCGTTAAATTAACTTTAAAATAAATTTAAAACGATTTCAACCGCAAAAAACAAAAGTCNAGGTAACGATGGGGCAGTTTCAAACACTATTTTTTTTTAAATACTTATGAGAAATGATTCGTAGAAGTGCATTTAAAAGTCACTCCAAATACACCCCTTAGGGTCCTATTTTTTTTATTAAATTTAAGGTATTAATATTAGTCGTTAAANAGGTAACGATGGGGCAGTTTCAAACACTATTTTTTTTTAAATACTTATGAGAAATGATTCGTAGAAGTGCATTTAAAAGTCACTCCAAATACACCCTTTATGGTCCTATTTTTCTTATTAAATTTAAGGTATTAATATTAGTCGTTAAATTAACTTTAAAATAAATTTAAAACGATTTCAACCGCAAAAAACAAAAGTCATTTTGTTTATTTTTTAAATTTGAATTATAAGTTACTTTATTATATAGATTTATGTACAACTTGATTTATTTACTTCCCTAAGAGAAAACAAACAAAGTGTAATTTTAAAGGTAAATTACTCTCATTTTAAAAAAAATNAAATTAACTTTAAAATAAATTTAAAACGATTTCAACCGCAAAAAACAAAAGTCATTTTGTTTATTTTTTAAATTTGAATTATAAGTTACTTTATTATATAGATTTATGTACAACTTGATTTATTTACTACCCTAAGAGAAAACAAACAAAGTGTAATTTTAAAGGTAAATTACTCTCATTTTAAAAAAATTATTTTTAATCTTAAACAAATAAAATGAATATTTAAAATTTTTAGCAGCAAAATACCTTTAATTTGATGGGAAAGATTGCAACCAATTTTGAATAGTACCAAAATTTATAACGTTTTAAGGTTATATATAATAATTTTTTAAGGTATAAGTTACAATTGAGAAAGATATGATCAATTCAAAAATATTAAAATTAATTATAAAAATTATAATTTTTAAAGGTAAAGTTACAATCGATTATAAAGTACTAGGGGTAATTAGTGTCTGAAGACACGATGCAATATGCATGGTTTTGAGAGAGATATTGGTGGTCGTTGAATAAGTCTATTTGAGACCGTTGAANGGTATAAGTTACAATTGAGAAAGATATGATCAATTCAAAAATATTAAAATTAATTATAAAAATTATAATTTTTAAAGGTAAAGTTACAATCGATTATAAAGTACTAGGGGTAATTAATGTCTGAAGACACGATGCAATATGCATGATTTTGAGAGAGATATTGGTGGTCGTTGAATAAGTCTATTTGAGACCGTGAGATGAACTTATTGAAGTCTATCATATTTTACATTATAGATTCATGATCAATCACAATATTTTAAATTATCTCAATAGTTCTAACTTCATATTTAAAAGGTATAATAGNATGAACTTATTGAAGTCTATCATATTTTACATTATAGATTCATGATCAATCACAATATTTTAAATTATCTCAATAGTTCTAACTTCATATTTAAAAGGTATAATAGAATTTTAAAAATTATTAGGATACGATTTTTTTATACGATAGAATTACTAGATTTGACAATCGTGTAAGGTGAAGCAGGTTTGTGTTAAACTTTAATGGGTTCATGTCAAAAGTATTCGATCTATATTTGATTCGTTTATTATTTTGTGTCTAACGAATCTGTTATATTAGATTCGTGTCATGAATGAATTTTGTATAATTAGTATATAAACGAGTCATGTCGTATTTTTTTTTAATTGACTTCACATATATCCGATTTATTTATTAATTCTGTGATATTAAATTCATTCATTTATAAACCGGGTGTTTTAAAGGAAATCCAACTTCTCTAACTTCATGAGTTGTTAACAAGACAACACCCCTAAGAATTACCCTGATTTCATTACCATGATAAAGAAAAGACTTGGACTTGTCACACTTTGCANACAAGACAACACCCCTAAGAATTACCCTGATTTCATTACCATGATAAAGAAAAGACTTGGACTTGTCACACTTTGCATTTTTTTTTTTTTTTGAATAGAGAATAACTATACTTTGCATCTTAAAACATATATTCATTCTCACTTTGTACTTTTATATATATTTTTATTTTTTATATAACACTGTGAAAAGTCATAAATTGAATCCAATATGACTCTCAAATTAACGTCTAACATTCATTTCAGATTCTATTAAAATTTGATGCACATCTCACTTAAGAATATGAACGGTAAATTTATATTTTTTTTCAAAAATAACACATGTGAGTGATATATATATTAATTTTTAACAAAATTTTAAACGAATGTTAATTCGAGTGTCACAGATAAAACCAATTCACACTAAAAAAATTATCTTGACATCTCTTGGAATGCAAAGTGCGAAAATCCCCCATACCATCTTTCCGTTTTAACGCTTTATGGCCTTGGAGGGCTCGGAGCACCTGGGTTCAGCAAGAACAAGACTGACAGGCAGCTGAACGAGAGACAGANCTTATGGCCTTGGAGGGCTCGGAGCACCTGGGTTCAGCAAGAACAAGACTGACAGGCAGCTGAACGAGAGACAAAGAAGAAAAAGCCGCAAGTCAAACGCAACCCCCTCGATCACAATTCACCAACTAAAAGAGATAAAAGTGCGTTTCCAGTGAACTTAAAGAGAGAGAGAGAGAGAGAGAGAGAACGATGATTCAAGACGGAGTCGAAGACGAAGAGAAATGGCTCGCCGCTGGGATCACCGGCCTTCAACAGAACGCATTTTACNGAGAGAACGATGATTCAAGACGGAGTCGAAGACGAAGAGAAATGGCTCGCCGCTGGGATCACCGGCCTTCAACAGAACGCATTTTACATGCATCGTGCTCTGGTAATTACACATCTTGTATAATTTATGTATGTTTTTTCGTCTGATACGAACCCTAATTTTGCACTTTTGACGGATCTAAATTGCTTCAGGACTCGAACAATCTGAAAGATGCTCTCAAATACTCCGCTCAGATGCTCTCAGAGCTTCGCACTTCAAGGCTTTCCCCTCACAAATATTACGAACTGTGTACTCACTCTTTACTGATCTGATCTCTTTTGTTATTTCATCAACGGATTCGATCTTAGTTTTTTTTTTTATTTGCGAATCTCAATACTGGAGCATTTGATTGGTTAGATATGCGAGCATTTGATGAATTGAGGCAGCTGGAGATGTTTTTCAAGGAGGAGACCAAGCGTGGTTGCTCGATCGTCGAGCTCTATGAGCTCGTGCAGCATGCCGGCAACATATTGCCCAGACTGTGAGTGGGAAATTATATTCAAGCCATTCCTCTTGCTTTTGATTTGCTTTTACGAATCTCATCCACAACTGAATTGGCTGAATATATTGTTTATGCGGCATGTTTTATATGTAATTATGCTATAAAAGATAGATTAATTGGATGAAGATGCCAGTGAAAATGTTTAGGTATGTGTGACCTTACAAATAATGGAAATTGAAAAAAAGAGGCTTAAAAGATTCTTCAAATATAAAACAGTACCATTTCACTTCTAGAGCCTTTCTCAGACACACTATCTTCTCCAAGTTTTATTTTACTTGTACAGCTCTGCAATAATTAAATTTGGATGGTTTTGGTTGTCGCTCACTGTGCAGAGTGCCATGGACCTTGTCCATGACTTAGTGAAGTATACCATATTTGCTTCTCAATAGTAAATGCTTTTGGTCGTTCATCTCTACCATAAAGAGCGAGCCTTCTTCAAATGTCGATTTTTACAATCTGTTAATACATATTGAGCTTCAAAATATATGCACTCTAGATGTTATATGGTTGTGTTTCCATAATCATTCTGTCTAGTGCCAGGTTCTGGGATTACATTTATGGTTTGCTTGACTCTCGATTACCATCTATAATTAGTGTAATGTGGAAGTAGTGGAAGATGCACCAAGTTAATTTACCTAAATAATTTACCTGGGATTTTTGTGTTTTTGTTTCTAAAATTGTACTTTGGAAGTGGCCAAAATAAAATAAATAAACAAGACCCAATTTGTTCTGTTAATGGGGCTTTATTGGATATAGAACCAATGTTTGAAAATATATGCACCAAGTGGTTAGCCTCAGGTTCGACACCACAATCTGAAGGGTTTTTTTTCAAANGCCATGGTTAGCCTCAGGTTCGACACCACAATCTGAAGGGTTTTTTTTCAAACAAACATAANACCAAGTGGTTAGCCTCAGGTTCGACACCACAATCTGAAGGGTTTTTTTTCAAACAAACATAACCTCAATGTTATTGGGCCAAATTCTGACCACTGAACCTGTGTCCTCCTGTTTTCGAGTGGCCAAAATACTTTGGTGTATTAATTATCTTTTGGGTTTTGGCTAAGCTTGCCATTATTTTTCTTTTAGTTTGTTTTAGATAATGTGTATCTTGGCCACAGGCTGAATGTTCCACTTGATAGACACCAGCTTCTGCAAATTCCAGATTCTAGTTAAAGTAATGGTCTTAATAGCTGTTCCTCCTGTTCTATCTGTCAGGTATCTTCTCTGTACAGTGGGATCTGTGTACATCAAATCTAAGGAGGCTCCTGCCAAGGATGTTCTCAAAGATCTAGTTGAAATGTGCCGTGGTATACAGCATCCTGTGCGTGGGCTTTTCCTTAGGAGTTACCTTTCTCAAGTCAGCAGGGATAAATTACCTGATATTGGTTCTGAGTATGAAGGGTAAGGAAATCAATTTTTCATTTTACGATGTTATAAATTAAGGTGGAAGAATGGGGCTAAATAATAATCAAGGGTTTCTGAGGCCTTGTGGAATATGCTTTCTAGACTATGTTGAGGCCATGTGGTAGTATAAATTTTATTATTCTGCTACTAGATGGTGGCAAATAAGATTTTTCCCAAAAATGGCTGAAGTTTTCCATCTGTGGTGCTCTGAACTCTAATAGGAAAATTGATGTTTGTTTGTTAAAATGTAAATTATTAAGATGGGTTCTGTCAGTGGAGAAAATGTCACTTATAGTGGATTAATCTAATACCTGGAAAGAGAAAATAAGAAGACACTTTGTTGATGACAATTCATTATCATGACGTTGGTTAAACTGCCTCCACTCCACCCCAAAATATATATATAGGGTGGCTGTTTTATTAGTGGTCATTGTAACTGCTTATTATTTCTTTGTTGGGAAAAGAAATATGTTGTGTATTTAATATAGTTAACCTCTAATGGTTATTCAATTGGAGTGGACCTGATCTGCGGATGGCTTGCTTGACTCCTGCAGTGATGCTGACACTGTCATGGATGCTGTTGAGTTTGTACTTCAGAACTTCACAGAAATGAACAAACTTTGGGTTCGGATGCAGCATCAGGTAGGTTGAAATTCTGTGGCCTCTGTAACCTGCTCTCATGCTTATTCATACATGGTGCCACAATGCTTGCATGTCAAGAAGTAAAAACAAATCATGAGGGCATGATTTGTGGTCATGCAGGTGTCGTAGTACTTGTGAATCATTCATACTCTTATCTTGAGTTGAGGCTTGCAATCTGGCTTTCTGGTCTGCAGGGAGCTGCTCGGGAAAAGGAGAGACGCGAAAAAGAAAGGAGCGAGCTTCGTGATCTTGTAAGTATCAGTGACCTGAAATTGTTTAATATCACTTCAAATAATCAATGAGTATGCTTGTGTACAATTATAAAATGCCACTCCTATCTCCCTCTTGTTTGTCCTTAGGTTGGGAAGAACCTGCATGTTCTCAGTCAAATCGAGGGTATTGACCTTGATATGTACAGAGATCTTGTGCTTCCCAGAGTCTTGGAGCAGGTGATTTGTTTATTTCTCTCGAATTTATGGTTTCTCATTTAGAAGCTTATGATCTGCAATCCTGACAATTTGTGATGGGATCTGCATCTTAATCTTTTTGGCAGGTTGTCAATTGTAAAGATGACATTGCCCAATACTATTTGATGGATTGCATAATTCAAGTCTTTCCTGATGAGTACCATTTGCAGACTCTTGAGATATTATTGGGTGCTTGTCCCCAGCTCCAGGTGGATTGCACTTTTCCTTCCACATGACCTGTAATTTTTATATTTTTTGAGATGGAAAAATCTTGAGAAAGGAAAATTTCAAGGTGGAGGAGGTGAATCAGACCTACCAGCAATAGTAAATGGTACGAACTTGACAAAAATCGACCTTAAAATTGTGAGGAAGGCTTGTAATCCCCTTGCGTATACTGTAGTGGCAGACACTAGCATGAGAATATACCTTTGATATGGTGAACTAGGATTCCTGCTAAGAGAAGTTCCAAATTCTTGTTAAGACTTATTCAATATCTTTTAAGCCTTGGTTTTTCACTTATTTGAAAATGTGCCCTAGATTGGATTTGTGATTGCCAGTTGTGTTGAAGGGTCATAATATTGGCACTCCACAAATAGCTACAGGCAATCATTCCATCTTTTGAAACTGTGATATGGACAAATTATGTTGGAATAACATACCTCTTGACCTGAGAAGATATGTTGGAAGAACCGAAGAACAAGATGCACAATTCATAAAATTTTAAAGGACAATTGTGTGGTGACAACACTATTGATGCTTGATTTTTTTAACGAAATTGTGCTATCTCATTCTGACTATCGTGTCCCTTTGTGTGTCTCAGCCGGGTGTTGACATCAAGACAGTGCTTTCTCGATTGATGGAAAGGCTCTCAAATTATGCTGTTTCAAGTGCTGAAGTGAGTAACTCATGCTATTTTCCTTGATCAAATTTCGTGTATGGTTGCTGATGAATTTGTTCTGCAGGTCTTACCTGAATTCTTCCAAGTAGAAGCTTTTACAAAGCTGAACAATTCAATAGGAAAGGTAAAGTTTGTATAGTTGCCTTGAAGAATCCATAGGTGGAATTTTGGCAATTGAAACTTTGTTGATAATGCAAATACTTTTTCACACTTTCTTCATTTGGTTTTTTTGTTCTACTCTTTTGCATTCAAAGGCAACCGGTTTAATTTCTGCAATTCAAAACCTTTTTAGACGCAATGGAAAGTTTCAAGGGAGGATCATAAGTTGCCAGCTTTTCAGTTTAACCAACGAGCAATAAATGGAAAAAATTATCGTCCTTGTTTAGCTATGATGTTGCATGTCTCATGAAACCTATATTTCTGTTCACATGACATATGCGCTCCGTTAACTCTATCTTTTTGTTTTGAAATGACATCCTTGTGATTGTTCTCGTGTTGCCTTTTTTGGGCCTGTTTATTCTTGCTTTTAGAAAACTCAGATGTTTCCTTGAAAAAGTGCTGTATCACTCCTTTTCTATATATGTCTTGAGTTAGAATCCAACCTAGTTGTTATTAGGGTTTTGTTTAGCGATAGGGAAGGAGGAAGAAGACAAAAGAAAAAGAATTAGGATAAAAGAGAGAGTTGCCTCATCTCTCCTCTCCACATATATTTATACTATCAGAATGAAATGGAAATTACAATAATGTCCTGCTCTATAATATCTCTCATAATCTAACATCTTGTTCCACTCAAAAAGGGATAATAGGGCATGTAGATCNGAGTTGCCTCATCTCTCCTCTCCACATATATTTATACTATCAGAATGAAATGGAAATTACAATAATGTCCTGCTCTATAATGTCTCTCATAATCTAACATCTTGTTCCACTCAAAAAGGGATAATAGGGCATGTAGATCTCTCTTGAGGCAATTCTGAATGTGATACTGTTGATCCAGGTGATAGAAGCACAGGTTGATATGACCGCTGATGGAGCTGTCACTTTATATTCATCTCTTCTGAAGTTTACTCTTCATGTGCATCCTGATCGCCTTGATTTTGTGGATCAAATATTGGTAGGTTGCCTTTTTATTTCATTCACTTGTTTGTGGTAAGTTTTATGTTGGCCTTAAACAGCTTTACAGTTTTAACTCTCCTAGAGGTGAATTTGAGGGTCCCAAGCTGATTGCCTAGTCTTTATTTTTTGCATCCTGTAAAAAGAAACATGCACAATGAATGTTATTTACTAGTGAGTAAGGATAGTTAAGTGTGGTGCATGTCCTGGAAAGTCTTTAAATGGAATTAGATTAACTCAGAACAATTTAGCAGAAAATTGGAAGATTAGAAGAGTCTGATTAATTTCTCATAAAAGAAGATAAAATTTTCATTGGTTTTTTCCTGCTAAGCTCTCTGTTCATGGTTTTTGTGTGAGCCAGACCTTCTGAAGATACGACAAGGAAGACTTGGTATATGAGTTATGGACCTCATGACTTAGTGCGCTATTTTCTAGGCTTGAATTCTGAAGTATTAGGCAGCTGGTTGCTCTCTAAGTGTAAACTTCAGATATTTTCTGAAACCATGACTTGAAATGGTGTGAAATTTGGAAAATGTTTGCTGGTTGCTATAATAACTCATGTATTATATACTCTTCTGGGTAAAGTCTGTCCCTGCCATTTGAGTTTCTTCTAGGTCGTATATCATGTTTGCCTTGTGTAACTCTTAAACTTGGCAAATGTGATATTCCTTAGAGCACCTCATTTCTTGTTTGGATTGTTTAGATGGCGTCAGTTTGATCAAATTCTATTTTATTGGCTCCTTCAGGGTGCATGTGTTATGAAACTGTCTAGCAAAGGAAAGCTTAAAGATAGCAAAGCAACAAAAGAGATTGTTGCACTTCTAAGTGCTCCGTTGGACAAATATAATGACATAGATACTGCGCTAAAGCTTTCTAACTATTCCCGTGTGATGGATTGCCTAGATGATGGAACGAATAAAGTGATGGCCAATGTAATAGTTCAAAGTATCATGAAAAACAAGACTTGTATTTCTACAGCAGACAAGGTAATTTTCTATTCACTTTTTATTCTGTTCTTTGAAATATGCTTCTTATTTATGTGAATTTCTGGTCCATATAGGTTGAGGCATTATTTGAATTAATAAAGGGGCTTATTCAAGATTTAGGCGAGCATCTTCAAGACGAGGTAATCTGGTTATTATTGTGTTGCTCTGACTTACCCCTATTCTCTTAATACTATGGGTCTTACATTATTTTTTTCTCAATTTAATTTTAAAATGAGTAGGATCTGATGGTGTTTGTTAGTTGAACATAATCATGCCTTGCAATTTTATCTCTTATTTTTAGCTTGATGAGGATGATTTCAAGGAGGAGCAAAATTCTGTTGCACGTCTTATTCAGATGTTGTATACAGATGATCCAGAAGAGATGTTGAAGGTAGTCTAGCTTTAACGTTTGAATATTTTTGTGTATGTTTTCCATTTTTTTTTTAAATGTACTATTAGCTTCTGTTGTTTATAATTTAAATTGTTTGGTGCTTAGCAGGGGTGATTGAAAATGGAAGCCATTGAGGACCTTTGATGAATGACTTTTGTGATTAGGAAACAGATTCTTCTTTTCTCTTGTTTTCTTTTTCCTTCTCCTGCTTACTAAGATTAGTGGCAATAAAAAACAAAATCTAGTCTCTATTTGCTCTAAAAGCCACAATTATTGTAGTTGTGTGGTGTATCTTTGTCATATTTGCAAATCCCGTCAATCAGCTAAGAGGGCCATTTTTCCCTTGTGCCATTAGAAGGAATAATTACGCTCAACAGCTAAACTCAATACCAATACCACCCAACATACAACCAGACAACACACAGGCCATGGAATCAACTCAGAACCAAACATATACATGCAAAGGATCTAACTGAGCATGTGCAGGAAGTGGGGCATCCTTGATTATGCCCAGCGACCTTTTAGGTGTAGAATAGAAAAGGCATGGACATGCCACTGCAATTCCCATTACTATCCCTGACATTTTGAATATCTTCCATTATGCCAGAAAAAAAGTAGGAATATTGGTTCTGTGACATTAGACATTTCCGTTGTTCATTTTAACTTTTATATATTCCTATGCTTTGTAAAAGTTGGTGGTAGTAGTTCTTTCCCATCTGTGACTCTTTTGCATTTACATTAGTGATGATTTGATGACCAGAATTTCTTGGTTGCAATTTAGTAGTTTGAAACTTTTTTTAAACTTCCAGTTGTTTTTTTTTAATTGCAATAATTGAAGTTAAGCTGGGCTTCCATTGCCTTTAGCAAGTTAATGCGTCCTCTTCCCTCAGTAAAGGCAAGCTGAATTCGGGGTTTCATACTTTAATTGCATCACACTTTCATAGGGCCACCTTCTAGTATAAAATAATGGTAACCAATAGCTTTTAACTTTCTACAAAGTTTCTTACTGCAGTCTGAAATTCTTATCTTCTTTCCATTATTAGATATTAACAATCTATGCATGTGTATGTTTGTTGCTTTGCTTTGCTTTTATTTTATTTTATTTCATTCATTTTTCGAGTACAGGGGAAAATGCATTTTAGTGTCCCTTCTTGTCAATTTAGTTTCTTATATCAGTGATGAATGTCAGCACCTTTTTCTCCTGCTTTCTTATTTTTCTAATGTTGACCATCATTTATTTGTTTTTCAGATCGTATGTATTATGAGGAAGCATATTTTGACTGGAGGACCGAAGCGGCTTCCATTTACAGTCCCTCCCCTTGTTTTCAACTCTCTTAAGGTTTGACTGTGCCTTTCAGCTTGTATGATTAATTAACGTGTCACCGGAAAGTCCTATCAAGTTTGGAGATGTAAAAAGCATTTCCTGAACTTATATCTGTATGGGGATGCATAATGGGAGCTAAATTTCAGGAATCCAAGATTCTAATCTCCTTGTCTTGCTTTTTTTTTTTTTCCCTCCTTGAAAAAACGAAAATTAAGGAAGGGGGTGGTCAATTGGGTGCCATGCCTGAGTATGTTACCCAGAAATACAGTCACAGTGTAGGGATGTTAACTTTTAATGAAACGAGCAAGATCATGATATTGGTAGGCTTGTGTTGAAAAAGAAGCTAACAATATAATCATGAAGGCAAATAATGCCGGAATATCTTTAAATTTGGTGTGTGCTCATGTGCATGTGACCTGCATGATCGGCTCCATAGATAGTATTTATAAGTTACATTCTAGAATACTTCTAAGCTAAATTTAGCTTAAATTTTTTTTTTTTGCTCTCAATGATTATTGGCTACCAATTTACTAATTGAAGCAATTATACGCCATCTTGATTTCTCCAACCTTTCAATTCTATAAAATGATCTTGGCGACTTTTGTCTACAAAAGCCACTAAATACGTTTTGAATGCTATGCTTGATTTGACCTTTGATATTATAAAATGAAATGAAATCGTCAGAAAATAAGGTGATTTTGATTTGACTAAGAATCTGGAATTTCAGCCCTATGTTATGCCATATGCATTTATGAGGTGAGCTTCAAATTTTGAAATGTTTCTCATTCTAGGGGTCTGGTAGAATAAGCCAGAAAAATTAGGCCTATACTCTGAAATTGATCATATCCTAGGGAAAAGAAACCAGAGAGATTGATTATTTCAAATCTAAACAAAATTATGGGTCTGCAAGAGTATTTATATACAGCCCCCAGATCGTCAATGTTCTTCTTCATATCTTCACTTGTATGCTTGTCAAATTTGATTGAAGAGGAAAATTTTACCTTCCGAAAATAGAATGGAGTATTTTCTTTTGCAAAGCATGGAAAGTTTAAAATGGATTCTTCCCCCTTTGGCCTAATCATGATTCTCTCAAGCCGAGCCCAAGGAATTTTATAGGGTTAAACCTCATTTTGTCTTAGTGCTGATGTTGTATCGACTATCATGTGCAGTTGGTTAGGCAACTGCAAGGCCAGGAAGAAAATGTTGCTCAAGAAGAGGCATCAGCTACACCAAAGAAAGTTTTTCAGTTATTGAATCAGGTATCTTTAGCGTGATCATTACTGCCATAGTTTGTTTGTAGCTCTTTGAGGGCGAGTTTGGGCACAGCGGTAACGTTGCTCCATTGTGGATTTGAGTCGGGGGGGGGGAATAGTCTCTCAGAATGTGACGGTAAGGCTGCGTTCATTTGGCTCTCCCCAGACCCTGCAGTGGTAGGAGTCTTTAATACTAGGTCATGCTTTTATTTTGTTTGTAGCTCTGGTTTCTAACCCCTCCCCCCTCTTTTCCTTCTCCTCTCCTTTCTCTTATATTTCCTTTTAGCTCTGTGTTGGTACTGCAGTCATTGTCTAGTTTCTTTTGTGCATGCAATGGTACTCTGGAAGACCTTTCTTTTTGCAATCTTCTCCTGCAATTGTTATTCTGTTGGCTTTTTGTTTCAGACAATTGAAGCCCTGTCAGTTGTTCCAGTACCAGAACTGGCACTACAGTTGTACTTGCAGTGTGCTGAGGTACATGAAAATGTGTGGCCGTTGATCGTTTGGTAGGCCAATGGAAAATTTGTCTTGCTGACCTGCACTTGCCTTTCTTCATTAATGCAGACTGCCAATGACTGTGACCTAGAACCTGTAGCTTATGAATTTTTCACCCAAGCATATATACTCTATGAGGAAGAAATTTCGGTAATGAGTGGTGACATATTTTGCATGTAACTGTGTTTATTATATCTATTTCCTTGGAACTAATTAGGTTAATAGAGCTTTCCACATGTTTGCAGTGGGATTAAAGTTATCTTCATTTCTTTCTTTCTTGCTTACGTTTTAGTGTTATGATAGGATTCCAGAGCACAAGTGACTGCAATACACCTAATAATAGGGACTCTTCAGAGGATGCATGTCTTTGGTGTTGAGAACAGGGATACACTAACACACAAGGCCACTGGGGTAATATTTGTATCATACCATCTTTTCATGAAGTCACTGTCAGCTTATGCTAGGACCCTGATATAATTTTTTTGCCCTGGTTGCGGTAGTACTCTGCAAAGCTTTTGAAGAAGCCTGACCAGTGCAGAGCTGTTTATGCTTGTTCGCATCTCTTCTGGTTTGACGATCAGGATGGTATCAAGGATGGAGAGAGGTATGTTGCAATACATTTGTCTCTAAAAGGCCATAAAATGTTTGCATTCATTCTGATGGCTGTGTATCATCTCCTGCATGTTGGAGTGGATTGTATAGCCATGGTACGAATATGTTCATGTGAACAGTACCAAATTCTAAGCAGTGCAAGTTCCTTTTGATTAATCTTAGTCATTCTCTTCACTTATAGAAAATCCTGAGTCTGGGACAAATGTTTTGAAATTTTCTGCTGCTCGGTTTTTCATATATTTGGTCTTATTTAATTTTTCAGGGTCTTGCTTTGCTTAAAGCGTGCCTTAAGAATTGCAAATGCTGCTCAACAAATGGCCAATGCAGCACGAGGCAACAGTGGATCGGTCATGCTTTTTATAGAAATATTGAACAAGTAAAGAGTTTCAGTCTTTCATGATTGTTCCCATTTTATATTCACTTTATATTTTTGTTTTCAATTTGTCAAAGATGGAAAAAGCTTATCTTATTGTAATCTCAGGTATCTCTATTTCTTCGAGAAAGGGAATTCACAGATCACTGTTACTTCAATCCAGAGCCTGATTGAATTAATCACAACTGAGATGCAAAGTGACACTTTAACACATGATCCAGCTGCAGATGCTTTCTTTGCCAGTACACTGCGGTACATCCAATTCCAAAAGGACAAAGGTGGTGCAGTGGGTGAGAAATATGAGCCCATTAAGGTGTAATTTATTGTATATCTGGTTCTCATCGACATAGTTCAGATATTACCACAGTATAAAAGTTTTGTAGTTTCAAGGTATTATAAAAAGGTTCTGCTTTTGAACTTCTTGGGCATCATCAAGGAAATGGAGTGGCTGCTGTGTCCCTGGTGGAAGAAGGCGTCTTGCATGCCCTTTTCATTGCAGTATCGATGTTGGGTAAGCGTTTTTACATCTGAGGAAAATTATGTATCTTTGCACTAACATTGTCACATTGAGTACAGCTATAAAAAGTTACTGATCATTTTAATAGAACACATTTTTTTATAATTAACAGTCGCATTCTTTTTGGCATGTATTTCTGTCTTTAGACTGGTGTCAAATTTGCACTTGCGCTTGGCATAAGTGTTGATTAAGATAATTGAGATTTGAGCAATAGTTACTCAGATAATTTTTCAACACGATGTTGCAGAATGTGGAATAGCACTAGATTTAGCTTTAGGTTTGTGTTATTGCGGTTACCATACCTTGAACGAGATTTATACGTAAACAAAAAATGTGGTAGTGATTGTCAAAAACCAGCAAGGCAACCTGAATCAGCATTCTCTGAAGAATGTTTTAAAGGAAATATGGTTTTGGATGTTGGACATAAATGAAATAAGAGGGACATGGTGATAGGTGAATAGCTCTTTGTCATGGATTGAATTCTACTGGATAAGATATGATGAATGAGGATCAGATCATGTACCGAAAGTTTATCTGAAGAAGTGCATAGAGAATTTAAATTCTATGAAGGGAGACTTCTTGATGATGAAACATGATTCATAAAAAATTGGTGAAAAAGGCAGCCTTGCTAGAACATTTGCCATTGCTAGGTAGTGAAAAAAAGAAAAAAGATAGCTATCCAGCAACCTTGCTAGAAAGATGTGCATATAAGATCATATTAAATGTGGAGGGATGCCTACAAACTTCCATTTTATTTTGTTTTTCTATCTGATTTACCTTCTTAGAGGAGTTGAGGACTAAGAAATGGCGTCTCGTAGTCGATACTGTAATTATGTTTTTAGAAATCTGTTGATTGCAGATGTAATGTTGATTTGTACAGGAAAAGTGGGCAGTTGTTTCTGGATGACCTATTCTAGATTCGCTACTAAAAGAAGGCCTACATGCACCAACTCCCGTTTGCAAAAGTCCATAGGAAAAAGTACTTCTTCTACTTTTATAAAGTGGAATGAAAGTAGATAGCATACATGCAAAAAAGAAATCCCATTGTTTTTTGGTTACCTAAAATACGAAATGAAGAGGTTGCCAAATAAGCGGGATCTAGTCTATCAGTAGCTCAAAGCCATAGGATAGTTAAGGCAAGGATGTTGAGGTTGATGCCTTTGTGATCGAAAAATGTTGGAGTGAGTGGATATCCTCTTTCAGTATCCGGTGACATCCGGTATAGAGGATTTCAGGTAAAGGATGGAAGCAGTGAGCAATAGACTATGAAAGTATGAATCTTATAAGCTTATCGGACAAATAAACAGTTGCAGCCTTGCAGGGTTTGAAGGTTGATCAACTTTGGTGATGACTTGTTCATGTAAAACCAAAATATTTAGCAAAAACACAAAAGAGGAAAGAGTAGTCTATTTGTTTGTGGAGTATGTAATAACTGGACCGGACATCATTGGGGTATGAAAGTTTAGATAAATAGGTCGTGAATCTTGTAATATGCTAATATGCCGTTATGTTGTCATTTTATTTTTTCTTAATTTCCAGTCCATAGTTGNGGATAAATAGGTCGTGAACCTTGTAATATGCTAATATGCCGTTATGTTGTCATTTTATTTTTTCTTATTTTCCAGTCCATAGTTGGAAAACTCGACAATCATAGACGCACCCCTAACTGTCCCTCNAGATAAATAGGTCGTGAATCTTGTAATATGCTAATATGCCGTTATGTTGTCATTTTATTTTTTCTTAATTTCCAGTCCATAGTTGGAAAACTCGACAATCATAGACGCACCCCTAACTGTCCCTCCCAGGGTTGGATCGCTGACATTGCAGGTGATTCAGGGTTCATTTTTTTTTTTTTGGGTCAAAAATTTAGGGTTCATTTGGGTATATAAATTTTTAGGTTAATTGCATCGGATGTCTCAAAAATATAGAATTTATCTCGTTTTAGTTTTCAATATTTTAATTGCATTATTNTTAATTGCATCGGAGGTCTCAAAAATATAGAATTTATCTCGTTTTAGTTTTCAATATTTTAATTGCATTATTTTGGTCCATAAGTATTCAATATGTTTTTATGTGGTCCCTTAAGCAGACAACATTTAAATTGTTAACGATTTTTTATTATAAAATTTAGCTCTTGATCAAAATTTGANTCAATATGTTTTTATGTGGTCCCTTAAGCAGACAACATTTAAATTGTTAACGATTTTTTATTATAAAGTTTAGCTCTTGATCAAAATTTGGGTAGTTCTTGACCTAAAATGTGTAATATGAGTAGTTCTTGACAAAAATTTAGATAGCTCATGATTAAAACTGTGTAATTTAGATAATTCTTGATCAAAATTTAGATAGTTCATGATTAAAACTGTGTAATTTGGATAGTTCTTTGACCAAAATTTGTGTAAAAATTTGGTCAAGAGTTATCCAAATTATTTTGTTGCTCATATTTAAATATTACGTAACAAGTTTATAATCAAGTATCATTAGAATTTTGGACGTTGTCTGTTTAAAGGACCACATAGAAATATATTCAATTTTTCAAGAACTAAAATAATGCAAGTGAAATATTGAGAACCAAATTGGGACAAATCCCACACTTTGAGAACCTCAATGTAATTAACCCTAAATTTTTCTTTTCTTTTCCACGCTGCTAAAAAATATTAGCCGTTTATTTAAATCAAACTCNATTTAGCTCTTGATCAAAATTTGAGTAGCTCTTGACCTAAAATGTGTAATATGAGTAGTTCTTGACAAAAATTTAGATAGTTCATGATTAAAACTGTGTAATTTGGATAGCTCTTTGACCAAAATTTGTGTAAAAATTTGGTCAAGAGTTATCCAAATTATTTTGTTGCTCATATTTAAGTATTACGTGGCAAGTTTATAATCAAGTATCATTAGAAATTTGGACGTTGTCTGCTTAAGGGACCACATAAAAATATATTCAATTTTTCAAGAACTAAAATAATGCAAGTGAAATATTGGGGACCAAAATGGGACAAACCCCATACTTTGAGAACCTCAATGTAATTAACCCTAAAATTTTCTTTTCTTTTCCACGCTGCTAAAAAATATTAGCCGTTTATTTAAATCAAACTCTTAAATTTAGGAGCGTCAAGGCTACGAGGTTTAGACAATTTTTTTATTTTTTTTTTAAACAAATTGTTACAAAGTTCAGACAGAGAATAGCAGTTTCTNTCTTAAATTTAGGAGCGTCAAGGCTACGAGGTTTAGACAATTTTTTTATTTTTTTTTTAAACAAATTGTTACAAAGTTCAGACAGAGAATAGCAGTTTCTGCTCTTTATTTGGCTGTAGGAAGGTTCTGACTTGTCAGATGCAAGAAGACATGACACAAATTATTACACGAGCCCGCCTTGGCCTGGCTATGTTTCAACCTTTAGCACATGGCATATTTCTGGGTCCAGCTACGGGCCATTGATTCGTACTTGGCTCGATCCATTTTGTAGATATGAGCGATTTCTGGCACCAGTGGGTCATCCGGATTAGGATCCGTGAGCATTGAACATATTGATAACAAGACCTGCACCATGCAAATTAAGTATTTCAGAAAGAAAGAATTTGATCACCTTTAACCAAATCAAGAAATGAGGATGAGGAGAGGAGTGGCCGTCGTTTAAACGAATCATGTCGGATTTTGATATTGTGGGCTGAATTTCACCTTGGATATGGTCAGTGCAGGACTCCATTGATCCTTGAGAATATCCAAGCAGATGTTCCCATTGTTGTTTATGTTTGGATGGAACACCTTGGTCCTGAAAGCAACCTGTGCCAGCATCAACCATATACAAATCACTGCCCTTTGGAGTTAAAGTATTTATAGTTTCAAGTAAGTTAAGAGACGTTGACTCCAAGCTCCAACTCGATCTTGTGGTAGACTACCCTCCTAGGGGGCACTTGGCCATAAGTTATTATAAGTGGGAGCCTCGTACATTACATACGATCTTTTCCTACCTGTAAGGAAAACGCGGAACCGTCCTATTACAGACAATCTATTACTCAGTTGCTTCTTACCTTGGGAGGCTTGAAGGGGTAATCAGGGGGAAACTGGATGATGACTTGGAAAACACCACCGGAGTAGGGGCTGTCGTTGGGGCCGATAATGGTTGCTTGCCAGTGGAACACATCCTGAGCCACCGGACCTGGAAGAGGCAGTTATTATCAGTGAGGGAAAAATGATATTCTTTACAATCAAGTATTCAACGATTTTTAATTTAATTTTGTTANAAGAGGCAGTTATTATCAGTGAGGGAAAAATGATATTCTTTACAATCAAGTATTCAACGATTTTTAATTTAATTTTGTTATAATTTTTTATTATTAAGAGTTCAGAACAAGTGCTTATCCATCAATGCGATAGGTTGTTTGTTTTGAGTTTGCGAATCAAGCTCTTCAATGGTAGAATATGATTCAAGTAGCTGACCTTAGAGAAAACGTGGAGACAAGATTTTGTTGAGTTGAGTTAAGTTGTAAGATTATTTATCGTTATATTCGAAGCGAGTACACAGGTTACCTCCAATTTCAAAAAGAAAGATGATTGAACAAGTTTTCAACTCAGTGTGTTCATTTACCTGCGCTGCATGAAGTTGGAGGGTCTCTCTGCAAGTCCCTGAGCTCCTTGAGAATTCTCCTGGATGCCATTACAGCACCCTCCAAAATTACTGAGAGAATAAATGTGTGACCCCTGGCCCTGAATACCCTTCTAAGATGCAATACAAGGCTATATATATAATGACAGAGAGAATTTATATATATATATATATATAGAGAGAGAGAGAGAGAGAGAGAGAAGATACAGTGATTTTTTAGAAGTGGGGATGGGCATACAAAGGATTCTATGGGTACAAAAGCAAGAGTCAAAACCCATGATTTCGAACCATTCCTTTTCTTTACGTATAAAGGACAATATTCCCTGGACAGAAAAAGAAAGAAACAATACTCCTTAAATCCAGCTACCCCACCCCAACCCTCACCCCCAACCTTCTTTAATGGTTCATATCACTGTAAAATTGGCAACATTCAAACTCATTACTGACTTCAAATCAAAAAAAAAAATTCAAGACAAATGAATTTACAACTCATCTCTATTCTCTATTACTATTAAATTATTCCTTGAGTTTTCATTCCAATTCGCTCCAGTAGTGCCAATTTCATTGATATTATCTAGAATAGCAAACTCCTTTGCATCCCCACCCACCCAAAAAGGAGAAAAAACACTACCTTCCGCATCAGTTGCAATCAATCGCAAAACTGAACATCATAGAGGTCAACTTCTTTGCTTTAAAGCCCCGCCAATGGAAGTGAAAAGATTATTCCTTTCCAGTGCCTTAAAAAGCAGAAATTAAATATTGAAAAATAAATAAATAAAGGTCACTACAAATGGCTGGCGTGTGACTTAAGCTAAGTTGAAGGTCTTCATTAGAAAATGTAGAAAGATAAGATTACTCGTACGTTGGTTAATAATTCTTATTTTTTTTGAACATGTGACTAACTTGCTTGAGTATCCTAAACCCAACCACCTAAAAACTTTTCAATGTGACCCTAAAATTTAGTAGTTCACATAAGACTCCCATGCAGAAACAAATAGGATTGATTCACTCTTCATAGACAAATTTGGGTTTTTTGATTATAGGTGAGATCAGTTTAGTATCACGAGATTCTTCTTTTTTTTTTTTTTAGTTCAATAGTCAAAAATATTCCAATTAACTTCCGCACACCCCAACTAATCTCTCCCTCAATTCCGTCAAAAGTAAATTATCTACACAAAAATTAAGATATTCATGAGAGATATCATGACCAAGCCCCAAAGGGGCTACCAAAATTCAAACTAATGACGTCTGTATATACAACTCGTCTTTGTTATCACTTAAACTATCATGATTCGGTATTAAGTGTTGTATCAAGGAGTACACAACTAATTATACAATTGGATTCNACTACCAAAATTCAAACTAATGACGTCTGTATGTACAACTCGTCCTTGTTATCACTTGAACTATCCTGATTCGGTATTAAGTGTTGTATCAAGGAGTACACAACTAATTATACAATTGGATTCAAACTTACGGACAAACCGGCCTGTGCAACAAAAGCATTTTGAAATGGAAACACTATGCGTTATGCTTCAGTAATCCTATACTGAAGTTCATTTACTCTCTCTCTCTCTCTCTCAATCATGATGCAAAGGAACCTAATTAAAATAAAATACAAAACAAANGCGTTATGCTTCAGTAATCCTATACTGAAGTTCATTTACTCTCTCTTTCTCTCTCTCTCAATCATGATGCAAAGGAACCTAATTAAAATAAAATACAAAACAAACGTAGAATAACAATCATCTGGAAATAATTATATTGACCGGGCAATCCTGCTTATTCTGAGGTTTATAATATACAATGTGGTGAAGGATTTCTACCACTAAGAAACAGGGAAGTCCAAGAGAAAAGCCAAGTAAAATACACAACAACACGAAGATACTGATACAAAAACCTGAGAGCTGGGAACATAGTCAGCCCGGCTCAGGATCAGGACTTGCAAAAAGCTTGTAGTGTTTCGTCCAGGGCCTTTCTGTCATAGTCACCGGTAAAAACACAATTGCCTAGCGGACCTTTCAAAAGGATGAGCCTTAGCAACCCGTCCGCCACCTTCTTATCGACCTGCCATCATCCCAAAAGGGAAAAAAATTATTAATTCAAAAGAAACAATTACAGATTTAGGATATGATCTTTGCAGTTTAGTCTCTCCTACCGCCATGACTGACTTGAACATCTCCACGGTCATCATTTCAGGAGGAGCAGTGGGTAGCTTTGCCTCTTGTAAGATCTTATGAACTCGGTTCACAATGGAATCATCAATCCAACCGAGGCGGTATGACATGTCAACTGCCATAACCTGGAAATTAAAAACTCACCCCCTTCAGCATTATCACGTTGCAGATTAAGATTACAAATCTCTCTCTTAACAGAACCAATAAGAGGAAAAAATGAGGAAGAGAAAAGGATGTGGGCATCTTAAAGAGAGAGTTCATGCTATACCATGCCAGCTGCTATAGCTTCTCCATGGAGCCACTGCCCATAACCATAACTGGTTTCTATTGCCTGTAAAATATGTTATATGATAAGAAAAACTGCTGCCGAAAAAGCTTTTTCCCAGAAAAAAAAAAAATTGAGACTCTGTAAAACCCCTATATAGCATACTCAGAATCAGAAAATTGATTTAATGAGAACAGAATGTGTACAAATTATATCTTGCAAAGAACAGGACATCAAAAGACTTTAGTTGCTGCCTATCATATTTAGAATTCCTTAAGACAAAATGCTACTTGGACTTTACCACTAGCAAGGACATAACAGACACATGAAAAATAAAGCAGAGCAAGCTCATGTATGGAAAGCAAACACCAACTTAAGCACCTCAATTATGACAGTCTGATGTAAAATTAAAATCAAGTTCGAGAACCGAACATAATTGCAGAAGATTGTGAAAGTGGCTTCATAGAGAGAGATCCATGACACCCTTATCTATTTCACAGACAAAGTAATCTTGCTCTGACAAAGCATGTGTCTTGCTTCTCTATGGCAAAGCATGTGTCTTGCTTCTTGTGGTGCTCAAGTTTCCATAGCAGAAGGTCAGTTAGAAATCAAATTCCAAAAACATCACTGTCATCCAATAATATTATTATTATTATGATTGTGAAGAGACCTATTATCCCACACCGAAAAATTTAGACCCAAAGTTGGTTGATAAATTTGACAGGCCACTCCACTTATTGCCAATTAATTTTTGGTTGAATATTCTAACAATGATAATGATCTTGTGTATTTCAATATTGACTTTCTGTAAAGTATGTTGTACATAGTATTGTGCAAATTCCATTTACTACCAGTCGCTCTACAAAAAATAATTTAATCTATCCCATACCATAGAGATATTTCTTCTGGATGCACTCTTTTCTAGTTACTCAGCAATGCGNCATCAATCCAACCGAGGCGGTATGACATGTCAACTGCCATAACCTGGAAATCAAAAACTCACCCCCTTCAGCATTATCACGTTGCAGATTAAGATTACAAATCTCTCTCTTAACAGAACCAATAAGAGGAAAAAATGAGGAAGAGAAAAGGATGTGGGCATCTTAAAGAGAGAGTTCATGCTATACCATGCCAGCTGCTATAGCTTCTCCATGGAGCCACTGCCCATAACCATAACTGGTTTCTATTGCCTGTAAAATATGTTATATGATAAGAAAAACTGCTGCCGAAAAAGCTTTTTCCCAGAAAAAAAAAAATTTGAGACTCTGTAAAACCCCTATATAGCATACTCAGAATCAGAAAATTGATTTAATGAGAACAGAATGTGTACAAATTATATCTTGCAAAGAACAGGACATCAAAAGACTTTAGTTGCTGCCTATCATATTTAGAATTCCTTAAGACAAAATGCTACTTGGACTTTACCACTAGCAAGGACATAACAGACACATGAAAAATAAAGCAGAGCAAGCTCATGTATGGAAAGCAAACACCAACTTAAGCACCTCAATTATGACAGTCTGATGTAAAATTAAAATCAAGTTCGAGAACCGAACATAATTGCAGAAGATTGTGAAAGTGGCTTCATAGAGAGAGATCCATAACACCCTTATCTATTTCACAGACAAAGTAATCTTGCTCTGACAAAGCATGTGTCTTGCTTCTCTATGGCAAAGCATGTGTCTTGCTTCTTGTGGTGCTCAAGTTTCTATAGCAGAAGGTCAGTTAGAAATCAAATTCCAAAAACATCACTGTCATCCAATAATATTATTATTATTATGATTGTGAAGAGACCTATTATCCCACACCGAAAAATTTAGACCCAAAGTTGGTTGATAAATTTGACAGGCCACTCCACTTATTGCCAATTAATTTTTGGTTGAATATTCTAACAATGATAATGATCTTGTGTATTTCAATATTGACTTTCTGTAAAGTATGTTGTACATAGTATTGTGCAAATTCCATTTACTACCAGTCGCTCTACAAAAAATAATTTAATCTATCCCATACCATAGAGATATTTCTTCTGGATGCACTCTTTTCTAGTTACTCAGCAATGCGAAAACTATAAAGTTTCTAGAGAGTCAAAAACACAATAAACCACAACCATAACTTCTTACAGAAGAAACACCAAATGTAGAGTCAGGAAGCCAGAACTCACATGGCCAAAAGTATGACCCAAGTTCAATGTCGCCCTAACACCGCTTTCTTTCTCATCTAAGGACACGACCTCAGCCTTGTTTTCACATGAACGCTTGATAGCATACGCCAATGCACTAGGGTCTCTGAAAAGGAGCAACCCATTATATAAATAAGTCAAATTCCACCAAAAAACATAGTAACGACAAGAATGAACAAGTGCAGGAACTACATGAAAGCAAGCAAATCTTATTCATCAGTTGTGTGTGCTTATTAAGTGGAAAGCAATAATGTTTGAACACATCCCTAAAGGCCTAACAAAAAAAAAATAGAAGCATGCACCTTTTCTCACAAGTAATCCTTTTGTCACAAGGTATGACATCCCACAATATCTGAATCATCTTCTATAACTTATGGGATAAAATGTTTGAAGTGTAAATAGTAAAGTTACACCATCTTCAATAATTTAAGCTTTTGAAATAGATGATTGCCTCACTGTCATTCTAGTTATTAAAAAATTTCCATATGGTAGGCCCAAAATCTTGCGAAAGTATAAATACTTAAGTTATACTCTCTCCTATAACTTAAACTTTTGGAGTAAATGGTTGTTTAACAGGCCTAATACAAAGATTTTGACTCATTTTCTCACCAACACTGTTGTGACATCACACTGTCTAACCTTTCCTGAGGAAAATATCCAATGACAGGTCAATTTTTCCTAGGATTACAAATTGAGTTATGTCGAGTACTAACCAATCCTAAAACATCCTATTTAATTCATCATGTTAGACAATGCGACACTAACCCGACTGTGTATGGTATTCAAGACGTCATGCATGACCCGTGAACCAAAAATTGAGGACTAGAATCCTCTTCTCTCTTAATCCAATCCATCACCCATAGGCTTTTGTAAAACAAAAGATCACTATGTCCAGATGCTAGCAAATCTTATCAAACAATCCTCCATTCGACAAGTGTTCACACAACATGAGATCAAGAAATTAAAAAAAAAAGTGTGTTTTACAGTAACCCATCCTGTTTATTATTCTTAAAGGTAGTTCATGTCATTTTTGAACAAGTGTCAAGTTATAATCGATCCTAACCACTAATTATTGTTGGTTCAAGTCACGCCAAAAATTGTGGCCCAACCCTAATTTTCCCAGGAGTACAACAAAAATCTCCTTCTAATTATGCATAAAATATTGCCAACAGGAAAAGGGGGAAAGAGGGTACCTATATAAAAAACAGAATCATGCAAGCAATGCATGATAAGCCCATACTTTGGTGGAATATTCTCACGTGGAATATTAACTATCCTCACAACTAAATTCTTTGGTGTAAGAATAAAATGGTGATAAAGAGGGAGATATATTCACACCTTGCAAGCAATGCTGACATATTCTTCTCTTGCCACTTGAAAAAATCAGCATCTCTAATAAGCCCATACTTTATAACCTCAGCAAGCCCTGATGCTAATTCTCTTTCCGGTAACGTGTTCAATGTGTTAGTATCTATGAGCACACACTGTGGTTGATAAAATGCACCAATCAAATTTTTCCCAAGCCGGTGATTTATTCCAGTTTTGCCCCCAACGGAAGAATCCACCTGGAAGAGGAAAATAACTTCTAATAATTAGTAGGGAGGAAAATGAAATACGAATCTCAAGCCCATAATTTAGCTGACAGCAGTTGCAACAGACCTGTGCCATAACAGTTGTAGGAATCTGAATGAAATTAACTCCACGAAGGAAGGAAGCAGCAGCAAATCCACACATGTCACCAATGACGCCGCCACCGAGGGCAACAAATGTACAACGTCGATCCAAACGAGACTCAATTGCCTTATCAAATACTTTCATTAGAGTATCCTATCAAAGCACAAACATAGCGAAGCATTTATTTTAACTGCCAAACCTTGAAGCACTCTAAATGGAAATGCCAAACAATTCTCAAGACACTTACCATGTTCTTAAATTGTTCACCATCTGGCAAAATTACACTGTCAACAGTAACATTTGGATTCCCATCGGATAAAGCAGTAACAACTTTATCCAAATATAGCGGTGCAATTGTGGTATTAGTAACAACAAGGACTCTTTTGCCATGAACATGCCTACAGAAAAGCAATCAATAAATACAAATTATATGCCTACAGAATTTAATCAATAAATATAAAACTGAAAATATAGAGGATTGGAGAGAAGTCTATTTTACAGAAAAATTCAAATTTCACTATAGCTGATTTCCAAGAAAATTAAGTCATGAAACCCGAAAACTACGAAATAGCTAAATGCTGAAAATTTTCATGTAAGTAAAATAAATCACGAATTGCAGCCTTTCATTCATAGAAAATTATTTTGTGGGATACACTTGAGAAGGAAGTGAGTGGTAGAAAGACAATCCAGAAATGGAAGAAATCCAATAGACTGTAGAAGCCTTAAAGGCTCACGGATAAGAGAGAGAGAGGGAACAAAAAATGGAAGAAAACCCTAAAATCCATTAGGGGCTCTTCAATCCACAAGTAGAGAGAAGAGAGATATGGAGCCAAAGGTTCTATCAACGACTCAAAGATCTAACATTTTTCCCGCCTCCTCACATCTTGCCCTTTTAAGGCTTATTTATAGCCTCTGAAAAAGCCCAAAGAACACATTAAACTTAAAAAGCGATCTCCTAACTAGGTATAATGATAGAAGTGGGATAGTTCAAATTCATACAATTTTATAAATAATAGAGAGCCAGATAAAAAGTATAAATGCTTACATGTAATCATTGTCCAGTTCGAAAGAAAAAAAAAACAATTGTACAACAAGAATTCAGGTTGAACATGACGAACAAGGCAAATAAACATTTGAAGGACCTAGGATGCTAGTAGACATAGCCCAATGTGTAAAAATGACTAATCATAGCAGTTCCATGGATCTTTAAAGAGGCCAGCTAGAAAGACTAAAGAAAGCTTCTTAATTTTTTTATAGCCATAGTTTTTAGTATCCCATGATACATACGATACGTTGCGATTCATGAAGAAAATGATACATATCGCTTAAGTGTATCAGTTTACATTGTATCATGTGATTCGTGATACGATACACCTGATATACTAGACGATATGTATAAGTCGTCCGATACGGGACGAATCACATCAAAAAAAATTCCTTTGAATATTAACCAAAAAACGACGCATTTTCACTTAGAAGTAATTTTTTCAAACTAAAGAATAATGAAACGATGTCGTTTCACCATCTACAATTTTTAAGAAATAAAAATCTTCTTTTTTATTCGTTCCATCATAAAAGCAAATAGTTTGATTAAATGTCCTCCTTTGGCTACTTTAGATATTAGAACTAAAACTCTCAAAATTTTGATATTGGTGAATTATATTAGAAATTTCAATACTTATATTGTTAATTTTTTTGTTTTGATCCTTGTAGTCTCTTTATATTGTTTTATGTGAGAAATTTGTGGTACAAACATTTTGTCATATGTACATTTATTTTTTAATATCTTTTATAAAATTACACGTATTTTATGATACGCGATACACTGTTTTTGAAAAACGATACGCCTTCCAATACACATTTTGACAATCTTGTTTATGACTGCTTGAATAATCCAGTCCAGGGGATTAGATCATTAGAATGACAATGGCCAGTCCATCTCCTTCAAAATCCACCCTCCCCTCCCCTCTTCAGCTTCTGAATATTTGGCCACAAACATGAACAGAAAGTCAGACCATGCTCCAATAATGCAAGGGGATCAATCTTGGGTTAAACATACAAACCTGGAGTAAGGCGGATAAATGCCAAGCAGCAGCATGTTTAATTTCAGGAGTCAAAACTATTTAAGACATTGTCCAAGAGAAAGGTAGAAAACAAAAAACCTTTGAGATCTATTTTCTGCCACAAAGTTAACAGATATAAGAAGCTCATCTTTGGGTATGCCAATTAATTGTCAAAGACTTCTTCTTCGTGTATTATTTGTTTGCTCTATTAAATTATTTTGTTTTTTAAACTAACTAACCAAGTATCAGAACACGTAAAACTTCAATTTCTTTCCTTTTTTCTAGTGATTCTCACCATGTAAGACATGATTGGGCTTCATATTTTCCCCTGCCCTCCTACTTCGGTCCACTTCAACTAAATAGAGGCAACAAATTGAGCATACCACTACATAACAACAAGCTTCAATTGCATAGACTAGTCCGCGACCTCACTCACTATAGCAAATCAAATGATATTCAACAATGCATTAACCATTACACTCGAACAAAGAAAATTCAATAACTGTTGGGTATTTCATGTGTGGGAATCTCATAACAAATAGAAAAATAAGTTAAATGTCATCATATATTGTTGATGGGCTCACCACCTATAGGCTTAAGCAATGATAATACTATAACCAGATACATATACACATACACACACAAAAATATGAGCCAAAACTAAATCTGGGTGCGTGCACTGAACTGATATGGAAAAATAAGAAAATTTCAAAAAGAGTGAAATCAATGCGATCAACAAATTAAAAATAAAAAAAATCAAATACTTCTGAAGAAGCTCGTGTTGATCGAGAAGTCCAGATCCGATATAAATCGGGTAGCTCCGGTCACCCAAATCGACCTTGACAATGGTACGAACCATAGAACCCATTTTACTCGGCGACTGGTCCATCACCTGGGCAGCTGAGTTTGCACACACCCTCAATTGCTTCCGCTTTGGGCGAACATGAGACAACGACGATACATAATCGGATCGGAAAGAGACAGAACCGGAGTTTGGGAATCGGACGAATAAATCAGTGAGGTTAGAGACAGAGTTGTTGGATAGTTGGTGGGTAGGGAGGAAAAGGGTGGTGTGTTTTGGACAGAGAAAGGAAGTGGAAGCCATGGAGGTTGATTGGGAGGAGAGAGAGAAGAAGAATGTGGCGTGGGTGTGTTCTGAATAATTTTGCTTACATTTGGTGGTTAGGTGTGCGAAGAGCGAGGGAGGAGCATATGAGAGAGTCAGCGAGAGGCATGCGGTGGTAGGTGGGACTGAACAAAACAAAAGGGGTAGTGATGGTGGGCGCGGGACACAGTTTAAGTTGGGTCCCGTAAAAATAGTTTTTAAAAAAAATTATATTCATATCTTAATCACCTAAATTTTTTGATATTTAAAATGTTATATTTAAATTCTCTAATCTTTATATACGCGTGTCTTTTTGTTAATATATTTATTAGTAAATTATATTTAAAAATTTAAAATATAAAATATATAATATATAATACTTAAATTTCTCAATTTTAAAACATTAAAATTATACCAAAAATACTTCAATCAGATACTAAATGCACGAAAATACATTTAAATAATAATTTTTTTAAAAGGTGAATTTTATGTGTATTTATATTAAATAATAAATTTGATGTTGAATAATTAATTTATATTTTAATTATTATTAAATTTAATTATTAGTTTATTTTGTAAGTCTTTGAGTACTTTTTCTTTTTTAGTACTTAATCTGTTATTTGTTTTAGGTATTTGCACAGCTAATTATATTATAGGATTATTAATTTTTATTTTGTTATATAAATTAATTAGAATATTTATAATATTATTATATACTAAAAAATAAAATATAACATATATTTGACTGTGAAATCTAATCTAATAATTACATATATATAATAATTTAATATATACATGACTTTACTTATTCATATAGATATAGAATATTGTATGTAAGTGTACTAGTAAGCGTTTTTTCAACAATGATTCAAATTTGAGTAAAAAATTTAATTTGGTATAGAGTATTCCAATGAACAAACTTCGATATCTACTCAAATCTTTTAAAAAAATCATTTATTGTTCCAAAATTTTTTTTTTATTATTATTCAAATCATGATATTTAATAAAATAAATGAAACTTTCATACTTCGTCACAAATAGGCAATTCAAAAAAAAAAAATGAATATGTATACAACACTATATGAGTAAAAGAAACCACCCCATAATTTTAAGATTATTTTAATCATTTATCATTTTTTATAAATCCAAATAAAGGAAAAAAAATATAACTATTTTGACCTGGGTCTGATTTGAAGAACACAAAAAAAAATACATTTTTAACAAAAATAGAAGATTGAAGAAATAAAATGATAAATTTTCTAAACTTATGAGTAGTGAAGGATTAAAATTTTAGGAAGAATCGGTAGTCTAAATTTGTACTACTGGTAATGTTTAACTCGAAAAAATTAAAGAAAAATTTAATGAATAGGCTTGTGGTCTATATAGTATAAAAATGATTGCAATTAGAGGTTTGAAAAATACAAGAAATCAAGAAAGTGGAAGGAAAAAAAAAAAACTTACCGACAGGCCTTCAAATGATTTGTGAAAGTTTTGGTGGTGGTCAATGATGGAAGCAGTGTTGTAGAAAGATGCAAGAAGAGGTAGAGAACAAATCATCAAATAAGTCTTTTAGTTTTGGATGGTTAAAAAGTTTATGTTAGAAATTTGGTATAGAATTTGAGCATGTTTCAATTTAGGTCTAGAATAAATTTTGTCTTGATTTGATATAGGTTTGAGTCCAAGGTTAGAGAAGTATTTTTGGTCATTTTAACTCAAATTTAAATTCTAAATTTACATTTGAGTCAAGGTTGGAGATACTCTAATAAATGAGTTCAAAAAAATTTATGAGTCTTTATAAAAGTGTCCAAAATAAGTTAAAAGTCAAATAAAAGTAAAAAATAAAAATTACTTGAAAGTATGTAAATGAGTATGATTAACTTTATTATAATAATTAGAGAAAAAATATAAAATTAAAATATTTTCATACATACTGACATTTATAAGTAATATAGATATAAATAAAAATCTATTTTTTTCTAAAAAAATATATAATTAATATTGTTGATGCAAAATTTGGATGACCTCCACATTAGTTTATTGGACTTCAATCACCTAAAAAAGAAGTCAAAGACCTGAGGAGAGTTTTGGGAGTTGACTCTCTCATGTTTAAATCAATAAGTGACTCAAATGTATGAACTGTGTTTAATAACTAGGAGTGGTATAATTGGAACATCAACAAAGCTATGTTTTATAGAAGTTTTCGGCAACTTGAATTGTGTAGGAATAATGATTAAAGGTCTAGTTAGAAAGATAAGGATTAAGTTCTTATCTTTGTAAGTTAATTTGATGTTATTTGTGTAATTAAATTTAACTTATTCATAATATATAGAATTCTATTCAAATTAGAGCTCTTAACATGATGAGTCGGATTTGGACTAAATGGACTTTTTTATCTTCATCAGATACAAATGTATCAAATAAGTTTAATCAACACATTTGCATGTTCCATTATATTATCTATTGACATAAAAATCAAATAAAATTCTATTTTTTTTTAGGAAAAAATAGTAATAAATATAAATATATCAAATAACTCAATTCAACACTCGTTTGTATATAATTATACTGTTTATTTGAATAAAACTAAAAAATTAAATAAGGTGGATAACTATAATTGACTCAATATATTCTATATTTAATTGGGGTAATTTTTGTCATTTAATAGATTTCGTTAGTTTCGGAATTAATAAATGGCAGAAGTATAATATTTTAAATTTTAGAGGTATAAGTATTACACACCTACAAACTTTAACGGTCTAGGTTTAATTTACTAATAAATATTAGAACGGACATTGACTATAGAGTTTAAGTATTATACATGTACAAATTTGATGAGGTCTATGTATAATATTTCAAATATTATGAGACTTAAGTTATTAAGTAACAAATTTCAGAGAGTTTAGGTGCAATTTTTCCTAGTTTTTAAGGGGTATGTGCAATTTTTTTTCTATTTTGGAGGGGAGATTTTAATTTTAAAAAAAGTTAATAAATAATATTTATTGATATTTATGTTAATTTTATTTACTTTATATTAAGGGTGTCCATGGGCCAGGCTAGGGTAGGCCCCGTGAAATTTTTTTCAAGTTGGATATGGGTAGTGTAGGCTCAAACCCTTATTCATATAAGTTATTAGGCGAGTCGGGCCGGACTACAGGTAGGAGTAGGTTACCTGCGATCCTATTGGGTGGAGCAGCTTGTGGTTTTTTTATATATAACTTCATTTAAAAATAAAGATTATTTTTATAACTTGATATTTTTATAAATTATATTTTTAAATAGGGGAGGAACTACGTCACAATAGAATGAACACATCCAAACTAAATTGACATCTACCCACTTATTTATCAATTGCACAACTCTACCTTTTAAAACGTGTATGCCTAATACATAGAAAATAAAATAATATATTATTTATAGTACCTAAATTTCTAAAACTTCAAATTTTGGCATTGGAGACTTATTTCAAAATTTTAAATTTCTAATAGTTTAATTTTTTTTCAAAGAAATGGTGGGCGGGATAGTTATTGAGTCAGATTTTTGCTAGTGGGATATTGGGCCGTGTTTTCGAACTGGGTAATGGATTTGGGGCCAAGTCCAAACCCTTATTTTAAGGATATTGGGATCAGACGGACGGGCCAAGTATCGGATTTATCAAGTTTCAAACTTATTTTTTCGAGGTCGGATAACGAGATCCGTGGGTAATCCAGTCCATAGACACCCCTATCCTAATTAGCATTGACATTTCAAATTTATAATAGCAATATATCTTCTGAACATTATTAACATTGCATCCTTTTTTTTTTGCACATTATTTAATCCTATCAACTAAATTGTAACACGCACCACAAACCAGCACCATCACTACATAAACCCATCAAAATCCCTATCCCTCCTTTTATACCTTAGAGTCGGCCATTCAATATACCCTTTGAACCACTCATCAAAACATCCACTATAGAAATCACCACAGAAATGCTTATGCCCACCACCCCAACACACAAACCCATCCAAATCCGCATCCATCCCCTCCTATATTTGAGCCAACCACTCAAAATACACATTTCTCCTCCTTCAAACAACCCATCAAAATCCCTAACTTGGAAAACTACCACCGTAATCAGTACCAACCATCTTCACCCACCATTTGCAACAGATTAGAAAAGATAAAGTAAAGGGAATTAATTTCTCGCAGAGGTTAAGGTTTCAAAATCATCCACCTTCACAAAAATAGATCAACAAGGTAGAGAGATGAGAGTTAATTCTATCGTTGAGGTTCGAGTTTCAAAATCACCCAGCATCGCAATATCTCTTAAAGTGACTATGTGTAGGAAGCAGAGAGAGAGAGATTGAGAGGAAGTTGGAGGTGTTGAAGGCCACGTACAGTGAGAAGGAGATATATATATATATATATATATATATATATATAGAAAGAATGTGAGAGATGGGTAGCGATTGTGAATAGTAGAGGTCGGGGGGTGGTGTCAGGGAAGAGGAAAAAGGGGGTGGTGCATGTTGGGTGGGGATTAGAAAGGGTGCTTCAGACACAGAGGGTTCTTAGGTCATAAGTTACAGGTCATAAAATGTTGACTTAGATATTGGGCGGTAAGTTTGGATTTGGCCATGGATTTAATAAATTATTTAAGGGTAAAGTAGTCTTTTTAGTACTACTGTTAACATTTTCCACCTATTGGGGTCTCAACATTATTTTTGAAATGTGAGGAATGTCTATGTTATAAAATCAAATGTTAGAGGGTGTGAGTAAAATTTATCCAAAAGAAAAAAGCGTGCGTGAAGGTGATCTCAATGGTCTACCAATACGATGCAACATATTCCCACTTCTATCAGGTTGTGCTTGGTATGATAGAAAGAAAGGTGAATGTAAAATAGAGGGAGGAAAATAGAGAAGAAGGAAAGATTTGGAAGAAAACGCAATAAAAAGAAAAATGAAAAAGAAACTTAATCCTCTGTGCCGCCATTTTTTTTCCATTCGTTTTTTAGGTAGAAAGTGAGAGAGAAAATGGGATATTGATTACCGATTAGGTGTAAGTCAAATTACTATTATGCCCTATTGTTTACTCATATCGTGCATAGTACTCTTGATAATGTTAGCAATGTGAAACTCACTA